CGATACTCCATTTGAGGAGATTGTTCATGTTGGGGTCCATGGTGAAGATCTGAAAGTGATTTGCTCGAGGATTGAAAACTGCGGTTCCTGAAGAATGTGCTCAAAATATAGCAATTGACGTATGAAGAGGATGAATTCAGATGTTAAATTAATTCAACTAAAGGAATTGAATATAATGTAATCTTTATGACGGAGAAAATGTGTCAGATAATTTTTCTTATCGCTCTATTTTGGAGTACCTCTTGTAGATGGGCGGCGGTACGGTTCTGACGAATCGAGATGATTCATGGATGTTCCACCCGCTTCCACTCCCACACACACTGCACGACCCCAGTAAGAAAAGAATAGTTGATAGAATGATTTTAAGGGCGATTCTACGTTTGGGATTGACAGTTGGGAACATAGTTTCAAGATCAACAGTATATCTTAGCCGTGAATCAATGATATAAGACACTGTGATGGCTGTTTAGATCTTGCTCTTCTGGAAGCTGCCCCGCCATCCGCCGCTTAACCCCGCGATGAGTTATGGCTGGAAGCTGATATGGTCACCAGCTGTTCCGAGTGTGATGTCTTAAATCTTGGAATCCGAAGAAGATTTCTTGATTGTGTCTCTTCAGTCTTCTCAAGTAATAGTGTGTACTAGATGCATATGAGAAGGGGTTGAATCTCAAGGTTGACCCCTGTTCTTTCTATGGAGGACCTGGAGTCCTCCCAAAAGGCGGTGAGGTGAGAATGTAAGCCCAGAACCAGGTCTCCGTCTCTTCAAGATGATAGGAGAATACAGGAGATCATTGACATTTTGCCGCGTCAATCAGGCACTCATGCACATGGAGTCAGTAAGGTAATAACAATGAGTCCGGAGACTATTCCGTCTTACCAATGTACGTATGTTTGTAGACCGTAGACCATCTGGCTGATGCTTCCGCAGTGATGGACTGCTATGACGGGACCTAATCTTACAGGGGTTCTGGTAGAGAATCAAGAGAATAACCGATACTAGTACGTGCAGTAAGGTTCTGTAGGGGTTGCGATGGCCAATCATCCCAAATATTCGAATATAGAAGAATACCCCCATATTATAATGAATGTATGTGGAAGCCTAGGATCATCATCCAGAAGGAGTCAGGGTTACGGCCTGATTGGTAAGTAATCTAGCTTATGGGACGGGGATGAACCCTTTTTCTGGTCCGCCCAGTGACAGGAGGAACCATTCCCAAGCTTCCGATTATTATGATCATTGAGGCATTGAACATCTATTTCTGGTTCTTGGATAGGGACCAGCCCCACGAAGCATGCGCAATTGTTTTTGCCATCCTCCTGGCCTCTTGAAAGGCCACCTAAGCGTGACCACTCACTGTGCTCAAATGATTTTCTCCAGGACGAGATCCGGAATTGTCAAAATGATTCTGCCTTAGTATTTCTAGACTTCTGCGGAGTACGGCATTGACGGGTTAGTCTACCGAGCATCATTCATCAGCAGCCGCATCATCATGAGAGGCAGCAATATTTTGGGACTTATTAACATTAGTCTATGTGATCATGATAAATTCAACTTCAAATAGGCATCATTTTTGTAGTACTGAATATTCTCCTTGGTCTCTCTGTAGCTAAGGTATAAATACTTTGATAACGGTACCAGTGGCGGTGGACGGCCTCCTATACGAAGCGGCACCAAACCCGACGACCCTCTTTGCCTCTTATCCAAGCACCAACATCATCACTGTCAAGACGATCCATAGTCGTTACAACTGTCTGGTTAAAGAACCAACATCATCATCGGCATAACAATAACCTTAGCAAAGAAAGACTCCTAAGATTGGGTGGACTTTAAGCCTCTCGACTGTTCGCTTTCTTTTCTTTGGACCAGTCGCAGCCCACCACAGCACCCACTAGTCCACTCTCTCCCTTCTCCTTGTCCTTCTCCTCCGCCCCCGACCAATACCACCAACTTACAAAGTTACTTACGGTTACCGCTAACCCAGCCAGCCAGCCCAGCTAGCTATCTTCCTTTCTCTCGCTCTCCTCTCTCCTCTCTCTCCCCCTACTTCGAACTTCTCTCCCTCCTACACAACAACCTTTCCCAACTTACGTACTCAAACTCAACTTTCCATCCACCTCCCCTCTATCTCGTTTTCCCCCTCCATCAGTCTATATCTCTCTCTCTTCTCTTTTATTTTTCTTTTTTTCTTCTCTGTAGTTTTCGTCTTAATCCTATTTCTGTCACCATGGAAGGTACGTGGTTTCTGACACCTCAACAGCTTTGCTTGGGCTCCCTGCCACCAAACAAACCCCCCGTTCCACCCCCTCCTGCTCGCTTGCTTTACACCCACATAGCGAACAACAACTGACAATTGCATCGTTCCAATTTACAGAAGAAGTTGCTGCTCTCGTCATCGACAATGGGTATGTTTTTTTATCTTCAGCATCACAACGGTTCTCTCTCGACTTGGGCGTTGTAAATCCAAAGAGTCCCGCTCCTGAGCCTCCTGACCGTCCGAGCTCTCGGTCGCTCAACTGGCGCCTTTGGCACCTTCCAGCGCTGGCATCGGTTGTCTCTCACGGAGTGCTTCCCTTGGGTTTCTTTCTGTTCAACGCAGCGAGAGAATGCTCTTGAAATGATGAACACAATATTTTGTATCTCGTACTGACGCTTGGTTTGTAGTTCGGGTATGTGCAAGGCCGGTTTCGCCGGTGACGATGCTCCCCGTGCTGTCTTCCGTAAGTCGACCCCTCACCCCATAATCCTAAACATTTGAGTCAACCCCTCCTACCACATGTCATCCCTTGATGTCACTGTGCAGGTTGTCGCCAGGGGATGTGTCAACCGTTGCCCTTGCGTCGGGTGGCTATTCCCCTACTGGCGGTTTCCTCTCCCTGAATCATCGTGCGCGACAGCTTTAAGTTGAACAATTAAACGCTAACTTGCGAGATAGCCTCCATTGTCGGTCGTCCCCGTCACCATGGGTAAATTATTCCCCCTTTCCTAATTCTCAGCTGTTGCGCTAGCTCGAGTCATGGTCGCTGACGATTCCAACGCAGTATCATGATTGGTATGGGCCAGAAGGACTCGTATGTCGGTGATGAGGCACAGTCGAAGCGTGGTATCCTCACCCTCAGATACCCCATCGAGCACGGTGTTGTCACAAACTGGGATGACATGGAGAAGATCTGGCATCACACATTCTACAACGAGCTCCGTGTCGCTCCTGAGGAGCACCCTGTCCTCTTGACCGAAGCCCCCATCAACCCCAAGTCCAACCGTGAGAAGATGACCCAGATTGTCTTCGAGACCTTCAACGCTCCTGCCTTCTACGTCTCCATCCAGGCCGTTCTCTCCCTCTACGCTTCCGGTCGTACCACCGGTATCGTCCTGGACTCTGGTGATGGTGTCACTCACGTTGTCCCCATCTACGAGGGTTTCGCTCTCCCCCACGCCATCTCCCGTGTCGACATGGCTGGTCGCGATCTGACGGACTACCTGATGAAGATCCTGGCTGAGCGTGGTTACACATTCTCCACTACCGCTGAGCGTGAAATTGTCCGTGACATTAAGGAGAAGCTTTGCTACGTCGCCCTCGACTTTGAGCAGGAGATCCAGACTGCCTCCCAGAGCTCCAGCTTGGAGAAGTCCTATGAACTTCCCGATGGTCAGGTCATCACCATTGGTAACGAGCGTTTCCGTGCTCCTGAGGCTCTCTTCCAGCCTAGCGTTCTGGGTCTGGAGAGCGGCGGTATCCACGTCACCACTTTCAACTCCATCATGAAGTGTGATGTCGATGTCCGTAAGGATCTCTACGGTAACATTGTCATGGTAAGTCTTCCTGCCATTCTGTTCGGCTCATGCTGTCTCTTTCTCAACTGTGTACTTATTTTTTCTTCTCTCTTTAGTCTGGTGGTACCACCATGTACCCCGGTATCTCCGACCGTATGCAGAAGGAAATCACTGCCCTTGCTCCCTCGTCTATGAAGGTCAAGATCATTGCTCCTCCTGAGCGTAAATACTCTGTGTGGATTGGTGGTTCCATCCTGGCCTCCCTGTCCACCTTCCAGCAGATGTGGATCTCCAAGCAGGAGTACGACGAGAGCGGTCCTTCGATCGTTCACCGCAAGTGCTTCTAAGGTATGACGGTGTTCCTCCATTATCCTCCTGAGTTTTCCATGACACTAAGCTGACCGGGTTACAGCTCTTGCATTTGGTTTTTTCTTCGCTCGTACTGTCCCGTTGTATCAAAAGACCGGAATGGAGGGAATGGTGACATGCAGGCCTTCTCTACTCGCACTATGAGGAAAAGATTGCCTGGAAAAGGAATTTTTTATATTAGTTGTGAAATAGAGATGGTTTACCATTGATATGCTTGTTACTCGGTGTACTGGCAATTTCGGACGGCTCACGGAATGTGGCCAGAAGGAGTAGTGGTAGCCGATAAAAGGAAGCAGTGTAGAAGGAGTGTACATGGGGTCTTGCGGACAGTGCGTGTGACAGTCCTCGTATAGTTCAGCGCATGTTTGAATCCTATTGCTTCCTATTTTCACCAGATTGATGTTCTGGTCTCCGGCCTGCTCTTTGTCTTCAAGTATCGCTGGAGAACCTGGCTCTTCGCTGCTGGCATGGGCTCCTGCTAGTCCTGTAGAGAGCACAGAGGTACGTCTTGTAGTCCGTCTATTTGTGATTGTCACAACCTAGCTCTCGTGCCTACCAGAAAGCAGTTACCGACGGTGGTTGGCAGTTTTATCGCATGGATATCAGGCCTAGAACCTTAGCAGGTGTACTCGAGGAGTATATAGACGTGTGGGTATTGCTTGTATTCATTCTATAAGTGCATTCCACCCAACCTAAGGTGTTATTGACATTCATCCCTCGTCATCACTTATGTAGTAGGCAAGTCAAGTTGTCATCAACAAAAATATAAATAATCAAAAAAGACTTTCAGAGAGCATGTCATGAGATATAGTATGTAACAAAGAAAGGGAAAGAATTCTTTTGGTTTTCAGAAGCAGTTTCAAGCATCCCAGGTCTGTAAACCCTCGAGTACACAGCCTTCCTCGCCGTCCTGGCGGGGCTTGAGTTCACCGACTTGGTAGACGACTTCACCCTCCTTCTCGAAGAGTTCTTTGACGGCGGCCTCGGATCCCTTCTCGACCACGATGACCATGCCGACACCGCAGTTGAAGGCGCGCGCCATCTCGGTGGCGGTCACGTTGCCGTTTTTCTTGAGCCAGGAGAAGACGGGGGGCAGTTGCCAGGCGGAGACATTGATGTGTGCCGAGAGGGTCGAAGGAAGCATGCGGGGCACGTTCTCGACCAGACCGCCACCGGTGATGTGGGCGAGACCCTTGATGGCGGAGGAACCGCTGGCGCCGTTGGAGGGCGGGATTGACAGAGCCTTCAGGATGGGCTTGACGTAGATGCGGGTAGGGGTGAGGAGGGCGCGGCCCATGGTCAGAGATTCGGAGGAAGAGAAAGGCATGGTGAAGGGGGCAGGGTCGTTGTAGCTCAGTCCGGATCTCTCAACGATCTTACGGACCAACGAGTATCCGTTGGAGTGGGGGCCAGAGGACGCCAATGCGAGCAGGACATCACCGGCTTGCATGGCAGAGGTGGCCGGCAGGATGGACTTGGCGTTCTTACCGGTGGTGTTGATGGCACCGACGGCGGCACCAACGGCGTCGTAGGTCTCGTCGACGAAGAGACCTGGCATCTCGGCAGTTTCACCACCGATCAAGGCACAGCCCGCCTGCACGCAACCGTCCGCGACGCCGGTCACGAAGGCGGCAGCGGTCTCGACGTCCAGCTTGCCGCAAGAGTAACAGTCAAGGAAGAAGAGGGGCTCGGCACCCTGGACAACCAAGTCATTGACGTTCATGGCCACCAGATCGATTCCTACGGTGTCGTGCACACCCACAGTGTGGGCAATCTTCAACTTGGTTCCGACGCCATCAATCGCTCCGATCAGAGTAGGAGATTCAGGGTGGTATGCAGAGTTGGCGGCCGCAAGGGAGAAGAGACCTCCGAAGCCACCAATCACAGCGTCCGTGCCAGGGCGCTTCGTACGAGCGACACAGCTCTTGATCTTATTGACGAGATCATTGCCAGCGTCGATGGACACACCAGCAGAGGCATAGGTGAGAGCCTGCTGCTGCTGGGAAGCAGCTGCGTCTCTCTGTCTGAAGGCACGGTGCGCAATATCCTTGCGGTAGAACATGTCTTCAAAGTGAATTGTCGAAATGCCAGCGTAACTCTTGCGGAGTGCTTCCTCGAGAGTGGATGCAGTAGCGGTGGAAGCAATAACACGGCCACCGTTGGTCTGCAGTTCGTTGCCGGAGAGTTTCGTGCCGGCATGGAAGATCAATGTGTCTTCAGGTGCCGGATCCAGAGTGATTGCCTTGCCCTTAGCGTAGGAGCCGGGGTAACCACCCGCTACGGCAATGACAGTGGTGGAGAAGTCGGGTTTGATCTTGATGTCCACACCGTCAAGCCAGTGTTCAGTGCAAGCAACCATGATCTGGGCCAGGTCGGTATCGTCGCTGAGCAACGGGAGCAAGGTCTGGGTTTCCGGGTCTCCGCCACGGACATTGTATTCAAGGACTTTAGGGCCGTCCTTGGTCATCATGAGACCGGTGAAGAGGATGCCCACAAAGGGGAAACCTGATTTCATCAAATCTATTAGCATGCGTCCGATAAAGCTCGAAATTGGTTGAATCAAACGAACCATCCTTTCTCATGCCGTCAACTGTTGGCTGCACAATGGTGCGGTCGATCTCCTCCAGAACCTCCTTCGATGAGATGGGAGTTGGAGCATAGCAGCCCATTCCGCCAGTGTTAGGACCCTGGTCACCATCGAAGATCCGCTTGTGATCCTGTGCAGGAGGGAGGGAGCGAATCGTATAGCCGTCGCTGAAGGTGAGGATACTGAGTTCATCACCCTCAAGATACTCCTCGATAACAACCTCATTACCAGCGTCTCCAAACTGATGATCCAGCATCATTTCGCGGAGCGCTTTGTGGGCCTCCTCCTTAGTCTGAGGGATAATGACACCTTTACCAGCTGCCAACCCATCTGCCTTGATGACAACGTTGTGGTTCACAGAGTCAAGGTACTGACGTGCGGGCTCATATTCGTAAAAGTTCTGGTATGCGGCGGTGGGGATGTTGTGACGCTTCATGAAGTCCTTGGAGAAGGTCTTGGATCCCTCCATGCGGGCTGCAGCCTTGGAAGGCCCAAAGCATCTAATTCCGACTGTCATGGACGTCAATAGCATGTCCCATACTATTAAGTATCACCCAGAGGGTCCGGCAGGGAACAAAACACCCACCTGCCTGGAAATAGCCTTGAATGCCGTCCACAAGGGGTGCCTCAGGCCCAGGAACGACCAAGTTGACACCATTTTTCTGCGCAAACTCGACAAGGCCAGGGTAATCGTCTCCCTTAACGTTGGCGTTGGTAATCTTGCTGGAGGCGCCCTGAGCAGTACCGCCATTGCCTGGAGCGACGTAGACGATATCGACGCGGGGCGATTGGCTCAGCTTCCAGGCATACGCATGTTCGCGTCCACCGTTGCCGACCACAAGGACGCGCAGTTGTTCTTGAGCCATCTTGGATGCAGTTTTCTCGAGCAAACCTGAAAGGTATGACTCACGTTAGCGGTCTATCGAGAAGGTAGTGAGGCAGGCTGTAATTTCTCCAATTGTTCTGCCGCAAGTCCAAACGCGCAGTAATATTCAGAGATGAGACAGATTGTATTCCCCGCGCAGAGAGATTCAATCAGCCATCATCGATGACTGACAATCATGAACCGCAGCCGCTCGGAGGGGCACCTGGTTAGTGCCCCTCACTCATTGCATGTTCACGATAGGCAGGGGATGGACAAGTCAATCACGACAGACACCAGGATAAACAAAAGCAAGAAATTGCCTCACCTCTTGAGAGAATTGACTTGAGATCAAACTGCGTTGACAGCAGATAATGTGGCTGTTGGGAAAAGAAGCTTTCCACAGATTCTCCCAAAAGGCACCGCACCTTTTTTTTTTCTGTCGCGGACCGGCGGGCCCTCTTTTTCCCTTCCGACCCCGGATTTGGCGATGCGCAGATTGCCCTCAGCTTTTGTCTACACTAGGAGATGTATCCGGTCAATTGCTTCCTACAGTGCAGTGGTATAGTTGTTATTTGAAGGGTCATCACTGAGATATTCAAAAGTAGTTTACTTTCTGAGGGTGCAAAGAGGTTCCAGAGACCTCTACACTATTACTACTGTGTTGCACGTAGCAGTTTTATCGCTGAGTAATATCCTGAAATCATTACAGCAGATTTGATATGTCAATCTGCACATCATTGATATTTTCAGACAGCTCCGTCACTCAACAAGACACCGAGCGAAGATCATCGCCAACCTACTCCGTATGCCATCTTCATCGGCCTATCTGAACTGTTATCAACAGAGCAAGGGCGGTGAACGCCAACCGGCAGAAAAAGCCAAAAAGACCCTGGAGACGCTTCAAGCTCTCGCGTTTACAGCATTGACTGACCTCCACAACTCAAATCAATTGAACGGACGTTCCTGACGGCTCGCCAAGCATACTGCGATACATCTGGACTGGATGTTTCGGACCTCCGTGCGGTCTTTGAAAGACCCTCTCCGCGAACATGTCTGCTTTTCCTGTTTAGCTCAGGGACTCGGAGGTCGTCCCCGGTTGCGCCAGTTCTACAGCTCGCCTCTATCACGCGCTAAATCTGGTGATGAGCAGGCCTCTGATAGAAACACTCATGCAACTTCCGATGAGGTATTTTTCTTCTTCGTACTGGCTCTGAAGCCAGCTACGCCCGAAGACTCGCTTTACTCCTAGATCCAGCTGCTGATTTTTCATACTCCCAAGGGCGATTCCCCCCCAACGAAGAAGAAGAAGAAAAAGAGAAAGGGTCTACAGGATGTCACAGACCCTGTTGTTCGCAGAATACCCAATATCAGTCCCAGTCCCAGTCCCAGTCCCAGTCCCGGTCCCACTCCCACTCCCACTCCCACTCCCGCTCCCAGTACCAGCGCATCTATGTCCCTTCAGGAACAGATCCTGAAAACGCTTCGCGACGATGACGCCAAGGTACGCACGGAAGCTACAAAAAAGACACGTGGAAGTACTGCACCAGACACTGGTCAACCAATTCGGAAAGAGACAGTGACGGCGAAGATCAAGCGAGCTGAGCTCTCCGCGTTGGAAAAAGCGAGAACAGGGAATCCAGGCGCTCCATTCCAAGGCGAGGTGAGTACACCATTTCTTTTTGCAGTTCGCCCTGTAGCTGACCCACAATTCAGCAGGACAGCACTGCCCGTATTCAGTCCTCCCTTCAGTCAGTTGTGACTCTGCTGGATTCCAGAGGTGCAGATCTCGGGGCCAGAGAAACCGTCCAAACCTTGTCGGCAAATGCGCGCTCTGTACTGGGCCGACATTCTGGTGAATTGCATTCCGAAGAGTTATCTATCACCCGTACGTGCTTCATTCCTCATTCAACGTACTTTAGATCATTTAGCTCACTGATGCAAAGCTCTGGAAATTAAGACCGCTCCGGTTCCTCAATTGTCATTCGGTCTTGACAGAGTCCTGTTCAAGTAGGTTGCTTCCGATTTTTTTCTTCAAGACACGAGGGTGAGCTAACATACTGGTTCCTTAAGCCCTGGTGTATATCATCTCCGTGATCCTCGATCCCGCGTCTTCAACTTCGATCCGTATCTGGGCTCCATCATGCCTGTCACTGAATTCGACTTTGATGCACTCAAGGAATACATTACTTCGTCCAGGGACGAGACTCTGCGGGGAATTGCAGAAAAAGAGAAGAAAAAGTACGTTGGCTCATCGTCGAGCATGACCTCGGTACTTTCTCATTTCCATTACCTGCTCTCGTCGTGGAGACCAATCGACGCCCGAAACATATCACAGGGCTTCCCAGATAAGTTGCGTACATTTACACGCCTTTTGCGAGCGCCGGCAGCCATGTTCCTCCGGTATCAAGACGGTGTATACGCCATTGATGCCGATAAGGAGTTTGACTCTGCCAACATTCTGATTAACCTTGGCAAGTCATTAGAGAAACTCCTCACTCTGCCAAAGGAGGATTTTGAGCGATACAGGAGGACAAGTACGAACAAGATCTCTCCAGAAGAAGAACAGGCTATTCCCGAGGCCTACCATTATTCGACAATGGGCGATTTCGTCATGAGGTCTCAATTGGACGCTTATGATCCCAGGCTTCCGGGAACTGGAATGTTCGATCTGAAGACCCGAGCGGTTGTGTCCATCCGTATGGACGTACGCAACTTTGAGCATGGCCTCGGTTACGAGATTCGCCATCGCTTCGGCGGCTACGAGTCCTATGAGCGCGAATTCTTCGACATGATTCGGGCTGCGTTCTTGAAGTACTCTCTCCAAGTACGAATTGGGCGTATGGATGGCATCTTCGTCGCCTTCCACAATATTGAGCGTATCTTTGGATTTCAGTACGTCAGTTTGCCGGAAATGGACCAGACTTTGCACGGTCAGTCCGACACTGCACTGGGCGATACCGAGTTTCAACTCAGCCTAGCATTATGGAACAAGATCCTCGACAAAGCCACCGAAAAATTTCCAAAGAAGTCATTGCGATTCCATTTTGAGACCCGAGACGCGCAGACGCCGTTCATGTATATCTTCGCGGAGCCGGTCACCGATGACGAAATCCACGCCATTCAAACGAAGAACCAGGAAAAAATCGAGGCCTACCAGCGTCGCATTCTCAACCTACCCTCAAAGGAGCGTATAAAACCTAAACCTACATCAGCGCCATCAGAACTTAAAGCAGGAAGCCAGCCAGCCACCCCCGCAAAGGACCAGACTGCTGAATCGAGCAACAAGAAAAAAGGCTCATCGCAGGAAATTTCCACTACATCCGATGCCGATCAAGAGACACCAGCAACTTCAGACGGATCGTCTGCCTCGGAATCTCAAGACGCACCCGCGGAGGAGTCTCAGGAAGCGCCGCGGGAATTACTTGCCATGACCCTCATGGTCAAGAACAAAATGAACGGCTACTACGTCGAGCGGCCCACCAATTTCACAGCGTCCGACAAGTGGACGGTCCAGTGGGAGCTGACCGAGGTGAAACAGCCGCAAGCGCAATCCTTATACACTGCATGCCAGAACCGCCGGGCCAAGGCTCTCGCAATCCGCGGAGAGGGCGAGAGCGGCGTCGCGGCCAATGTATATATCCGTAAACTGCGAGAGCTCGCCAAGCAGGGCCGCGAATTCCGCCGAAGGGAGGACGCACTCGACAAGAAGCGAGGAGTCGTCGTTCTGGATGGTGTGGTCTAATCATTTGATCTTCTTCGCTTCCTGCGTGCGCCAGTGACATTCATTCAGCCTTTCTAATCATTTTCATTTGACTTTGAGCTTGTCATCCGGTTTCTCCCTTGATGTATACTTTCACCCACTGTTTTGAGAGAAGGAGAAGCCGCCCTGCATATCTGGGTGCGCGGCCTGCGTCTTTTGGTATCCTATCACGGCGTTTATGGTTAGTCTCAGGCAACGTAATATTGTACGACTCACTGCATAAAACATGTACTTTTGGACACCTCAATTTCTGAACAGTTCGGGCAATTTTTAAGATACCTTCTGATTCTTTCTTAGTGCCTGCAAGGCAATCTTGTGTCCTGTAATAATGGACGGGCGATGTCACCTGTCGCAGAATATATTCAAGTTAAAAGAGAAAACAGCTTAACTGACTGAAAATAGAACACCTTCAAGATCTGAAACGGGAAGAATTCGATATTCTAGAATATATATTCATACATGGATGCTATCTAAATACAGCATTCGTAGGAAAAAGATATCATAGTATTCAACAGAGCCTTATCTCGAGACAGCCCTCAGCTTTCGAGACAGACAACAACTCTATGACATTATCAATTAGAATCATCAGACTTCCATGCCGTAAGAAAAAGAGACAAGAGATCGGCAAAGGGGAAAGAAGAAAGTGAAGTGCAAAACGCCGAGGGGATGTGCATTTGCGCTAGAAGTAGCATGTTGCAAACAAATGAGACAAATTGCGCACCAAGTCCTTGCGCCAAAACTCGCAGATCCGTGTTATGCTCACCTTCAGCCTTTGGTAGACGCCTTTTCGAAGAAAGAAAAAAAAAGGGAAAATGCAGAAATGACTCGGCAGGGATATCCGTTGAAAATCAAGCAAGCGCCAAAAGAAAGCGGAAAAATGCAAAAAGAAGAGGGGACGAAGAGCAGAGGTTAGGAGGGAATGGGTCCAGGCAATACTGTTCAAAATATGCAGCCATGGTAATCCACGAATTCATCTTTCAGGAGCGCTGTGAATGGCTAAGATCACGGACAGGTTGGATAGTGAGTACAGGCAGGCTCAGCCAAGAGAGAGAAATGAAGAAAGTAACAAAATGGAAGAAGAAAAGAAATTGTTGTCGAATATTCAGGAACAAATTGTGCTGTACAATTTCATAATGTGTCCTTTCGCGTGGAGGTTGCTCAGAACCGGCGCGGAAGATGATGCATGCGTTCAAGCGAGTCCAGACAAGCTCATCAAACTTCCCAGACCTGGGGGCTGTGGACACCATCATCTATCGGAACCCACGTAGTTCTAGCTGAGGTGGTGTCCAATCCAGTTGGGGAGGCGCATCACTAGAGACACAAAGAGGCCCAGGTTTCAATTTATCAAGACCGCGCCGATCTTTCGATACGCCTTTGCTGAGGAAGCCCCTTAGCGTGGAGGAAGCTGTGCCGTATGCACTACGTGAACTCACTGTAGTACCCGCGCTTGTCGACACGGAGCTCGAGCTGCGGGCGCTTCGGACGCTGTTAGGTTTGACTGTAGCTGATGGCATCGCAGGAACCGGAACTGCCAAGCGCGCCGAGGGTGCATTAGAGTTAGAGTACTCTAGTGGCAAGCCTGGGGACCCATGGTGCGTTAGCACGACACCAGCTGTCTGTGGTCGATCCCCGAGTTCGGCTCGAAAGCCACTATCGGCGTCGAGGCTCTTGAAAATGTCCAGATGACTGCTCTTGCTTTCTGCACTGGCAGTTGATGGCGTTGGAGAGTCGGCTTTCTCTTCAGATGGTGGTGTAGCCTGAAAGCTGGTCTGAGATATCGTAGGTTTCTCGTCGCTGAGTTCCGAACTACTCAGTTTCAGAGTTTCCAGCATCGTCCCAAGGCTAGCCGCCGTAGCCGGCCGGCCATCACTAGCGGCATCCTCGTAGCCATCGTCGATTCCATTGGCCAGGTTGTAGTTCCGAAACAGATAGCGACGCAGACGCGCAACCTCCGAGTCCCATTTTTCATTCAAGGATTGCAGAATAATCTCAACATCGTGATCCATCATATGGGAAGCCTGCACGGCGGTGGTCGACGCTGCGCTCAAAGATGGCGAGGTCATAGAACGAGCAGGGTTTGCCGCTGAGGAATGCTTGGACAGCTTATTCCCAACCGTCGGATTCTTGACATGAATGGCAGCGTGGATCGAGCGGCGAATAGAGGCCGTAGTGGAACTCTGCGCGTGGCTCAGATCACGCTTCACGTTCTCAATCTCCCGCCGGAATTTATCGAGCGACTGAACCCGGTCGCGGTCCATGGAAGAGAGATCCAAGATTGTCCTGTTTCGCTGGAGTCCGTTGACTAGGACAGTGAACGATTGCAAATTGATGTCGTTGTTCTCACAGTGGACTTCCCGCAGGCAGGTGTTCTCCTCCAGCACGGAGGCCAAAGTGCTCGCGCCTTGAAATCCAAGTTTCTGGTGCTCTATCTTCAAGACCTTGAGGGACTTGTTCTTTTTCAAGCCGGTCAAGGCCAGGTTGAGCCCAATCCCAAATCGTGCCACATCCAAGTGTGCACTCTCTCCGCTGATATCCAGGTCTTCCAATGTGCTGTTCTCCTCGAACATTAATTGGAGCGATCTGCACGTCTCCGGTCCGGCGTCATACGGCAGTGAGGCTTTGGAAATGTCGAGATATTTCAGGGTCCGGTTGATCCTGAGAGCCTCCACTAGTTCCTGAAATTGCTCTTCCCTCTTAAAGTCAATCATCCTCATTGAAAGATGCGACGGTGTCTTGTTCTGAGCTATGGCGTCGAAAAGATACGAACAACCGAGGTCTAGGCGGTTTTCACTGACGTAAAGATGCAGATCCCGAGGCGCACCAACCACAGCTATTGAGTGCAGAAAAATGGCAACATCCTGCCCTGTCAATCCACACTGGTCGAGCCGAAGTGCACGTAGGTCGCGAGATTGATCGCTGGCCAGATAAGTAGCTATCGCATCGACAGTCTCTCTATTGACCGCAGTTCCACTCAGAGAAAACTCCTGCAGCCGCCATCTGAATAGAGTCTCTGGGCTGAGCAGCGCTTCCGGGCCCGAAGTTCGGGAGACGCGGGAGAGATCAAATTTTTTCAGTTTGCCAAAGTGCCCGAGGTACTGTTGAAGTAAGCTGGGACCCAAACGGCCCTGTATACCAGAAAGGTCGATGGCCTCTAGCGTAGAGGCTTGAGTAACGAGTGTTGAAAGAAGGAGATCAATGTCGTGAACGGTCAGGCCGCAGTGCCCTACTTCCAATGCACGTAAATGACTTCCTTTCTGCGAGGCAGCGTCGACTAAGTAGTCGAGATCTGAATCTCCGAGTCTGATTCCATTGAGCGCAACACAGTCGACGCTCGTAAGCTGCCTGCGGCAGATGGGGAAAAGGGCTTCAGGAATTCCACATCCTGGATCGTGACTCTCACTATCAGACCTGGGCGTGCGACTCAACGTGTAGGAAAAATCAAGCCGTTTGAGGCAAGTGCTTTTCAGGGCCAAAGCGCGAATCTCTTGCGACAACACTGACAAGTTCTCTTGGCCGGGAATGTGAATGGGAGAGCCGGAGCGAGTGAGGAGAGCGTCTGTGTCCACTCCATGGAAATCACGAACACTCTGGAGCGCATCCAAGCTGACCCTGCTAAATGAGATAGAGCAGAAAGACTCGTTGTACCGAAGAGCTCGTAAGACCGCAATGAGCTCTAACGCGGTGTATTTCTGGCGGTGGGGGGAAGCGGGCGGCAAAAGTCTGAAGCAGGGCGCATTGTCACATTGCATGTCAATCGTATAGCGGATGTTAGAGGTGTCGATATCATAACTGGCGGAATAGGCGACCAATGTCCGATCAAAGCAGCCGTAGTCTTCGTCCAAGCTGACCGGCGGGTAATTGCTCTCATGGTTCAAATCGCGAGGCACAATAAAATCGTATGGCTGCCGGAGCCACAACGGACGCAAAAACTCCGTCTGCTGCCTTATCCAGAAAGCCACCTCGAGCGAATGTACGGAAGCCAGGAAGACCGAGAATGGTTTGCCAAGCGGAAGCCGAAAAGTCAGATGGAGGCTATCGTCGCCCCATTCCATTGATAAACCGGTTAGATTCATCAAGCCGAAAGATGTTGCAGTTTCCAGATCGGACATCGAAACAACCGAAGAGCGACTGGAGATTTTGTGCAAAGGTATCAGGTGAAGCTTGTGCGAACCCAAGGCGAGATAGCACCCGGTGGGGGAAAGCTTGGTGAGGTCATCCGATGAGGCCCGAGTGGTAGTCTTGCTACTGGAGGCCATCTGGATGACCCGAAACATACGAAACGTTTCTGGGTCATAATCTCTCTCGTATTCGAGCATCCGGGACACGCACTCGATCGACTTCTGGTCGAAGGGTAGAGGATCCACATTACGGGTCATTTCCGCTGCTGAACGAATCCCTACCATCCATAGGTTTAGTTCCTGGAGATCAGATGTTTGCATTTGTATGAAAGCGGCCTTGTGCAGCCGCTCGTCCAGATAGGCAACTTCGACCATGGACGAAGGTCTCCCGTCGTCCAACATGTACACCGCGATGATGCTGTTCAGAGGGATTCCCATAGAGACATCGTTGGGAACAGCAAGCTGGGGTTCTTGCAACGAGTTAATTGAGGCGACTGATTGGCGATTCATTGTTGGGGACCGCGTATAGGACGCAGGTATTGAGGAGAACATTTCCGCAGCCTTGCTCTGACTTTTGAACCGAACGAGATGCGTATCCGTGAGGACCAGGTACTGGCTTTTCTTCCTCCACATGCCGCCTGTCGTCTGGATCGTCCCATGGTGCAGAATGACCGAGCCGATTCCATTTCGAGAGGCAAAGGCGTCTTCATCGTCAACGGGCGAACCTTTTACGCGTCCGAGAGCCTTTTCGTCGTCATCCAGTGAATGAAGCGATCGTAAGGAACCAAAGACAGACGTGCGCCTTTTCTGCAGGGATTTACGTCGGGAACGAGTGGTGGTCTCCGGCACTATTATTGTAGGTGT